TTGAGGCGAAACGGTGCTCCCGGTCGGTCGAAGAGCTCCGTGGCGTATCGCTTAATGCACGCCCACGCTGCTTTGCTCCTGTGGTTGATCTCTCGGGTAAGGTCGCCCTGCTCGTTGACGAGGCCGCCCAGGTATCGGAACTCGGTCGTCTGTGCGTACCTTTGCCCCGCTGCTTCGATGGTCAGCACCGGCGGTGGCGGCGGCGGCGGTCGCTGTCTCTCCTTCACCCGCATCACCAGGGTCTCCGTCTTCCTCTCCGACACCGTCAGCCCGAACTCCCGGAACACCTCCACGATAATGGTCATCATTGTAGAATACCTAATACCGAATATGCATTGTAGCAATAGACTATTTTGTGGGCGTACGTATATAGACTACAAGCTGGACCATCCAAGAAGACGATGAAATGGTTGAATGCGCATTACATCACGATTTATTCGAGTTGGAATCTGAAATTTGGGCATGTGGTTGGTATTACATAATATAGATAGGGGGGGGTAATGAGTCGCGGGTGACGACTCAATACCTTGCAGTAGTCTATCTGCGATGCTGTGCAAGGTGCGAGACAGATACTCTGCGTTCCAGGCAGCAACGTCATAACCCAGCACGCGCGTATCAGGTTCAGTACTTACTCTTGCGGAACACCGTAAGAAGAGTCGGAGCGATGGCACCCCCGTGTTAGCGTTTATTTGTAGCGTATTTCACCACCACCAGGGGGGCACCTGTGCCGACAATGGAAATTTCGAAACATCTCGTCGAGGACTTTCCTGAGAGGTATCGGTTGGTGTCCGCACCCTCCAACTTGTGGAGAAATAGGCTAGAGGAAAACGCGAATACGAGGGTGCCATCTCTCCGACTCTTACGGTAATATTCAAACGGATCTTCCTCGACCTTGTATTCCGCTCCGGATGGAAGTTAGTTGGTTGACAAAAACATGTTCGCCTTGCAACAAACAGCAGGACCACCGAGCTGTGGTTCCTCCAACAATCGGTACCTACAGAACAGCACTGACACAGACACAAATGAACATAGGTATTGCACAGCTTACACAAATACAGTTGTAGTGCTGCTGCTTTGCTGTAATGGCGACGACTCCCATCTCTCTTACTTCTATTCGGCAGTGCAAGCATTCCGGAAAAACGCTATGGAACGGCGCTGGGCACCGAAAAGACCCTCTGGTTTTTTGGCTCCTTGGACAGCAGCAGTTGTGTTTCCGAGTGACCCCTCCTGACACACGAAAGTAACAGGGATAACAAAGGTGTCCGCCTCGAGCTGGGTCATGCTCCGTCTTGTGTAGAGATTTACACCGACAAGAAGGCTGTAGTACGCCCAGAAACGCGAGCGTTTGGCACAGCCTGCAACAAAAGAAAATGCCGAGTCTGTCTCTGCTGGGACCATGAGAGTTCGTTCGTAGTTGCCTCTGGCGCAAAGTTTTTGTTTTCCGATTACATCCCTCTCCCCACACGCCAAAGCAACAGCCGTGGCGATGACATCCGCCACGAGCTGTGTGTGTGGCTCCCTTCCTCGTCAATGCGGTCTTGCCCCCCCAGCGGTGTTGAGTGTTTGTTTAGCCTACCGATTGCTTCCTCTGTGTCCCTCCTCGTCAATGCGGTCTTGCCCCCCCAGCGGTGTTGAGTGTTTGTTTAGCCTACCGATTGCTTCCTCTGTGTCCCCCGGGTTGGAAACAGGGCGTCTAACTGCGTGTGGCTGTGTGTACAGATCTCCGCTTTTGCGTTCCTCTGCCTCTCGTCGAACTCCCGGGGACGTTTCGATGATTTTGGCAGCAAATCCGTGTCAAGCACGGCCATATGTTGTCAGAGCGCGATTAAACCGGTGTGTTCCCTAATTAGATTCCTCCTCAGAACCCAGCACATCGTGAATCGCTGCTCTATAGACCTCGTTCTCGTCAAATATAGGGATAATATTTGTACGTACGATTCCCCGGGGAGTTTTGCGGAATGGTCGCTCTACAGCGCGATGGTTGAAAGAGCCCGATATTCAGTCTTTTTTTCCCTCCTGGGCTGGGAATGAAGGAAAAAATGTCGCGCTTCGCGCTCCCCGGTTCATGACAACAAAAATACAAATGCTAGCTGTTATGGAGGAACAGAGAGCAGGTCCGCTCAGCGCCCACTCGGAGGGAGCGGGGCTGGTATTTTGATCTTCCTTCAAGCTATTTTAATATCCCTCAACGACGCCAACTATCCATATCCAAAGAAATTCAAAATATCCAATAAGCGCTCATAGAACGTTCATGAAACGCTCGTACAATGCATGTACACTAGTTGCTCCATTTCATAGCCGTACTTTTTGTTTTTCGTTTTTTTCAGGAGGTAGCCCTACTAAAGGAAAAATGGGAATGCTTTTCTTGTGTATAGGAGGACTAAAAAAAAAGGTAATATGTACGGCTAGCAGTTGTATTGGTTTTTACAACCACCACAAGTCAAATTTCCAGATTCCAACTGGTAAAGATCGTGATGTATTTGCGATAACCCCATATGCCCTTAACTATCTTGTGTCTTGTATCGGATTCTTTTCGGGGCCATCAATCTTGGTGGAAGATGATGTGAGCGTTGCAACTGCCATCATTATTCTCGCAATGCTCCAAGGTAAGCGCACACCATTTTCAGCTGATTCTGTGAAACCCTATAATGCTGATTTCAGTGCCGAAGGTATCCCTCGCTACGCCGCCAAGTGATCGTTTCATACCTTTATCAACTCAGATTCGAAAAATTCTGGCACCTGCGAGTTCCCTACTGTCTCAGAAGAGTAGCCACCGAATTTCAAGGCTGAATTCGTGGAAACGACAGCATGAGACGCGAACGAACGAAAGTGAGCTCCTTGGCTGGCCCAGCTTGTATACATGAACCAACATGGACACGTTGGTGTAATAGACTGCATGAGACATGACATCGTCACATGAAGGGCGAATCTCATAAGTCTTCTGTGTTTTACATACATAGCCGTGGATACAACATCCTGGGCCGCTATCCACTCCACTGCGAACGGAGAGAAAGTGAATCAACAGATCAATTAGATCGCGATGCCGATACTGATGTATCTATTCATGTGTGAGGTCTTACCCTCTGGGTCAATTTGTCTCACCCGTTGTGGCCTGTGATCACCGCTGTCCCATACTCTCGTGCCTCAGATCTTCGACCCGCTGGGCCTATCCGACGGCGCCGCCCCCGGCGACATCAAGAAGTGGCGCGAGGCCGAGATCAAGCACGGGCGTGTGGCCATGCTTGCGTCCCTCGGTGTCATCGTCGCAGAGGTGAGGCAGAGCATACATGATGGCACACGATGGACAGATGCCTTAAGAAAGGGTGGCATGTTGTTTTGTTTTCTCCAGCGATACTACTACCGTGCTATAGACACATGAGAATCCGATCAAGTCTTTCGCGTTGCTCATTATACTGTCGCGCCGTATCGCGTTGTGCTCGCTCTCGTCTCTGTTGTCTCTGCCCACTCCAGCAATTNCCTCCAGCACCGAACCCGAGTCCTACATCTCGGGGTGGCGTGACCTCACGAGAGCAAGACACCATCTGTACACTTGAAACGAAATACAGTGTAAGGAGATGTTGCCAGTGATGTGGTGCCGACATGCTGGTATCAGTTGGTTGATCCAGTCAGTTGTAGGTTGCGCGAAGGCCCCTGCAGCTTGTCCAAAGTAGCATAAAGTACTCCCGTGCATGTTCCTCCTGGCATAACGTGGATGCTGTGCTGCCAACGATGCCACCCTTCCCACGACACCATGTGGTCGACGAGTGCTGTTTGTTCACACAACCATCCCCTCTCTTGTGTCTCTCTGCCCGTCATTCCCGTGTCTCCCCAACCTCAGTTCTGGGCGTTCTCCCTCCTGGGCATGGCCTTCATCGAGTACAATACCATCATGACCGCCTTCGACACTCCCAGCGCTGTCACCGGCGAGGGCGGCCTGAAGGAGGACTACATGCCGGGAGACCTCGGCTTCGACCCCCTCAACCTCAAGCCCGACGACGAGGCGGCTCTGGACGTGATGAAGACCAAGGAGCTGAACAACGGCCGTTTGGCCATGATCGGCATCGCCGGCATGTTGGCGCAGGAGCTGGTCAACCCGGCGGACATCCTCGGCTAGACTGTATTACTTTTGTCGGTTGGGATTGTCTGAGTGTATGAATCAAGTGTGTTGGTGTGCTATTGTGAGTGTTTAATGCATCGGCCTGGTCCGAGAGGATGGAAGGAAGTTGGGAGGTGCTACCTACCATATTGTTACGGCTTTTTCTCGCGATCTTAGATGCTGGTGCGATACGGATGTTCCTTCATGCTTACGTTTTCGGCTGTAATTTGGTGTTGTACCGAAGTTTTGCTGAGTGTCGACGGTTAGACTGGCCTTGCATTCTGTTCTTCGATTCATACCACCGATGGTATGTCGGCGCAGGGAAGAATCTGTGTCGTTGTTGTCACTATGGTGAGAAAGTTTGCTTGATGTTGTTTAGCCGAGGCTATTCCCGCTCAGACCCAAGAACAATTTTGTCTCATGTTTTCCCTTTAGACGAGTTTCGCCATTTGGCTGTTTCCGTTGTCGCATGTCTTGACGGTCCTGATGTTGTCTAAACTCGAAAGGTCGAACTTGAAAGCGACAAATGAGTAGTTTTACATAGAGTGTTGCGCCCCGGAATGTCGTGTTTGCGAGTCTGACGTGTGTGGTGAAAAGAGAGTGTAGCACTTTCCACGTGTGTAGCCAAAGCTTTCGTACACGCTTGCCGGCTCGCGGTGTGATCGTTGGTTTGTTGCACCTGACACGGACGTTTCACGTTGTAGCTTGCGTGCAGTGGTGTCCAAGGTGTGCCTTGTCGAGTTGTTGTGCGACGCGTGCACCATTGGTTCGATGCCGTTGTGTGTTTGAGTATCATCGGAGGGATGTTCCATCCAGGTGATGACTCTATTGATTTCGCTAGTTGCTGTCGTGCTGTCAATCGAAGAATGAACGAAAACATCCCCGTCCTAGGTGACACCTGCTGGTGACAGCAGTACTTGGATGCTTGTTGGCGGTTGGTAGCATGCTGCCCCCCACGAGCAACTTCAACAGCTCTCGACAGTTTCATGGTCTAAAGCATATGCACTCGTAAAACGATGCACGCATGGTGACCGTCGACGGACTCGTAAAACGATACAAGCATACATCTGCCCTCACTGACGCCATCTAACCCGTTATGCCACGGCCCATGTGGTTCGGAGAACACCGGCATCGCGTACCAGCAACATTCCTGATATTCAAAAAGAAGTCCATTAGCTTCCGAATATGTCAACCCACAACACGGAAGTATGATTCCCGGGTGCGATGGCCATCTTCCCATTCACGCATGGAGGAAGTCCCATCTCTCATCATGATGAAGTTCGGAAGGCGGGCGCAGAGTTAGGCGAAGGCTTCATGGTATATAATCAGATGCCGAGATAATTCGTTCAGTATTGTCATCCTCCATAACCCTGGCCTCATGTAGTGCAGGCAAAAGGCGCCAGCCAACCTTCTTCCAAAACTGTTGACTACAAGCAGTACGTTGGCCTACCGAAAACTCACTAATTGGGTTCGACATGGATGGATGCCGATGGAATTGCATTTACGACCCAATGCTTGGACGTACTACGAAAACGAGCCCAAGGGCATGTCTTGGGTGGTGTGGAATATAGTCTAGATCCAATCACCGTTCTCATCCTTTTTGACCCGGGTTTGATCGTCTGTACCCCGGTAATTTTTCTTTTTCGTTTGGGAAAAAACAAATTACGTCCTGGAGGTCCTTTCTGAGCTCTATTTTCATTAATGTTATTTCTAGAAAGGTGCACCCCGTTCTAGGGTGGGACCAGTACGGACGTTGGAAAAGGTACTGGGCGGAGACCGTAGCGGTTTTTTATTGTGAAGACAGCAACAGCAACAACCGAACCGTTCTCCTCATATATTGTGCACCACGAGACACAGCCGATGAGATGCTGCGTGAGCACATTTAGCTCTTCTTATCAATTAATGAATAAAAAATATGAGGATGAGGGTAGGGAGGCCGGAAGGTGAGCGCAGCAGGGCTGATTCATGAACGACAAGTTTTACGCCACGGCAATCGACGCGATGCTTCTGACGTAGAACTTCTCGTCATGGTTGGTTCTTGTTCGCTCGAACCATCCCAGCTGCCACACACCTTCTAACCCCCCTTCCCCCATCCCTCACAAGCTTTTGTCTACGATAGTAATAGTAATATCCCCATTGCCTGCTCAGAATCTCGTCGGGTGCTGTGGCAGTTATCTGTCTATGCGTAGGCGTATGCTACGAAAAATATGAACGCTCTTTTTTGATCGCTCCCGAACCATGTACTACAGAACAGGAATACATCAAAGGGGGAACGACGAGAGGTGGTGAGACCTTGAGATAATTCTCGTCCATCATCATGGATAGCTTCTAGGTGTACGAGCGAAGAAGGGTGTGTGCTGCTGGTGCTTCCGATCGATGCCGTGCGTTGCCGACGACTCTGTTGCGGCCGATTTGTAGGCCTATGCCCTATCCAGCATTTTTCAGCCGTCCGTGTAGGATAGAGCTTTGGGGTAGATATTTGACCGGCGAGAGATAACCCAATGGCAAAGTCCCTCTATTGGTTACTGTTTCTCCACTACGCAACTCCTAAAACCCAGCACTTCCAACCAACACATGGCGGAACATGCGCAGCACGGAAAAAGCACTAGAAGGCCTTTCCCTACTCGTCCGTGAAGGCCCAAAATCCGCGATAGGCTCAATGCATACAGTGGTAGCATGGTTTCCAGCATTGATGCACTGATGTCCCAAAACCGAACTTCCGGCACGTGTAGACATGCACAATTCTTGTAAGTCAAACGCTTGTCTGAACTAGGCCAGAAACAATGGCCACGAAGGTGAATGGGATGATGGCCAATCTCAGTTCGTGTTGGGGGCGTAAATACGTCAACCTTGAGGGCGTAGATACGTTAACCTTCGAGCGTTCGCCGAACGCCGTGAGCGTCTTCCATACTTGCTACAGAGGTTTGCCCACCACCGACAGAAGAGAGGAAAACCACATTCATTCGCCTTCAGTGCACGTTTACACGTATGTGCATGACGACAAGACAGCAAAATGGCCATCACAGCAGGTTCCTGCCTATGGGATACGAAGTGAAGACGCAGCTTCTTGTGTTTGCCGGTATGGCATGCTGATATCCTCACACGCTAGTCAGTGGGGACCGTTCGGGCACAAATGGCGGTCGGTGAGGGCAGATGCATGCATGATGCATACATGTGTTATTTCACGTACTGCCGCCAGCAGGTACCACCGGCTGGTGGCGCCTGGGGGTAGGTATCTCGCCCCTCAACCATTGACCATGATGTTCTGTCACCAGAAGGTATCACGTGGCATGGACGTTTTCGTCAAGTTTGTATTCGATTGTTCGATTCACACAAGCACCATAAACCGCCGACGCCATTCACGCTGCACGACAAGTCGGGAAGTTGTCACTTGACATCCAAACACCCTACAAAATGCACTCGGGGCGTAGCACACCATCTCGATGCGATACACCTCGGACACCACTGCACGCTAGATGCAAAGCGGGACATCGGTGCCAGGTGCAACAAAAAAAAAACAACCGCCCCACTTTACACAAATCATCTATTACAACAAATACCTTCACGAGCCCCTATAAAATATACTCCCGACGATCAAACCAAGAGGAGGCAAGCATGTACGAAAAATTGGCTACATCCATGAACGTCCTGCCATTCTCTTGTTACCACAAACGTCAAACTCGCAAACGCGAGATTTGGGAGGCTCGAACAGACACACAACGCATCTTATCTTTTCATCACGTCTCATGCTCGACCTTCCAAATATCGACAAGAGAGGTGTCGTGGGTGTAGGTAGCAGTCCGTCTCGGACACTAGAATTGATTAGAGATTGTAAACCACGAACAGCCGACTCGCGAGGCTCGTCCAAAGCAAAAGACAGCTCGGGCAAAACCTGTCGCCACCGCACATGGCAAGAGCGATACAGATTTCTCCATTCGGCCACATTCCAAGCGGTGGTGAAAGAAACCGTGAGAGTCGACAAGTCCAACCGTCGACACTCAGCACTAAACCGGTACAGAATGAACTTGGGGCCGGAAACGTAAGCATCGACGAAACGCCAAACACACCAGCATCTACCATCGCGAGACAAGGCCGTAAAATAGGTGTCGTGTGCCTTCCATGCTCTCGGACCAGGCCGATGCATTAAACACTCACAATAGCACACCAACACACTTGATTCATACACCCAGACAATCCCAACCGACAAAAGTAATACAATCTAGCCGAGGATGTCCGCCGGGTTGACCAGCTCCTGCGCCAACATGCCGGCGATGCCGATCATGGCCAAACGGCCGTTGTTCAGCTCCTTGGTCTTCATCACGTCCAGAGCCGCCTCGTCGTCGGGCTTGAGGTTGAGGGGGTCGAAGCCGAGGTCTCCCGGCATGTAGTCCTCCTTCAGGCCGCCTTCGCCGGTGACAGCGCTGGGAGTGTCGAAGGCGGTCATGATGGTGTTGTACTCGATGAAGGCCATGCCCAGGAGGGAGAACGCCCAGAACTGAGGTTGGGGAGACGCGGGAATGATAAAGAGAAACACATGTAGGGAATGGTTGTTTAAACAAACAGCACTCGTCGACCACATGATCAGATGGTGCCTTACTGGGGTGAAAGTGGATCATACCACCTTTAGACTCGTTTTCGGTGTAGGAACGGGAGGACAGGAAACTCGTTGCTGGAGTCACGTGTGTACCTTTTCCAGCAATGGTTGGTCTACAAGTGAATTGAGTGTCAAATCCGAGTCGCACAAACAACTTGACATATCCCACTTTTCAATGGCCTCGCACATCAAATGANATATGCTTACCCCAACACCCAGTCTCACCTCAGGGAATTGGGCGCTGATCTCCTGGAAGTGGTCCACGGCGGGGCCAATGTAGTCGGGACCCATGAAGAAAGGGTGGTATTGCTGGAGTGGGCAACGGCGACAGAGACGAGAGCGAGCACAGCGTGATGCGGTGGGACGAAAAATCCTAAGCAACACCAAGGATTCGATTACAACCAGGGGTTGCGGCTACGGTAAGATTGAAGTATGGCGGGGGAATACAGAACAACGNATCATGCACGTTTTGCCTCACCTCTGCGACAATGACACCGAGAGACGCAAGCATGGCCACACGCCCGTGCTTGATCTCGGCCTCGCGCCACTTCTTGATGTCGCCGGGGGCGGCGCCGTCGGATAGGCCCAGGGGGTCGAAGATCTGAGGCACGAGGGCGTTGGACAGCGGTGATCAAAGAACGCAACGGGTGAGACAAGTTGACCCGGAGGATAAAATCTCACACGGGATCGCCACAATGATGGATACACTCATGTGTCGACCTCCCAATCTTTCCGTCGTGGATAGTATACTGTCGATAGCGGCATGACAAGTTTTGAGTCTGCGTGTGCGCCCAGGATGCTGTTCATATCCAAATCACTACGACACAAAAAGATACCCTTGAAGCGATGCGCGCATTATTTGCCACTGTTACTGATGTAACCAGAGCACATTTTCTGTTGGTACTGTAGGTGAACGTCCACAAAATACTGCTGGTCGGTGTTACACTACTCTGAAGATATATGTAAACGTCGCTCGATACGGCGGTCCCGAGGGTGTTTCAGCCTTCAGACCTAGCCTACACACGCATAGAAAGGACCACCTTGGGTGTTGGCTCACGCGATCACACACACGTCATCACCTTTCCGTCAGAGAAGGGAGCTCCGGGCAGGGTTGCGACGTAGTCCGAACCGGCGCTCATCTTGAGGCCCGGGGAGGAAGGAGTGGTGGTAACAGATCGCACGGCCATCGGTGCGACGAAGGCAGTCGAGGAGGCGATGAGGGTGGCGGCAGTGCCGATGAACATCTGGGAGGCGACCATCTTGATTAGTTGGTGGAGTGCGCGTTAGGAGATTGGTTGATGAAGGTGGGATTGAGGGCGTGTTGTGGTTGTGGGAGGATGAGGGACAGGCGTGGGGGTGGGTAAGGATGCGGCGAGATTGTGGTGTGATGAGTGATGAGCAAGAAGGGACTTGTGACACGCCTGGAAGCACGTATGTGTCCACCTACCTCATCATGTGTCGACCACGTCAGTCACTCAAACGTGATGATGGCAACTCAGCTCCCAACCAGCAGAGCGGGTGAGTGTGTGCTTGAGCTACTGCTGCAACTAAGGCTGAATCTCCTCATCATCACCCACCTACATGTCACATCGTACATTGGTCGGCTCGCGGACAGCGGTACGTTTCAGCAGCGCGGTCCCATTTGGGGCTTCGGGGCGGGCTGTTTTTCTCTGCGGGGTATATATTTCAAATTTGAACCCTCGAAGACGATTGGCTGAGTACGCGGCGGAAACATACCACCATGACGTGTTTTTGAAGTACGTCACGAAATCTCTGTTCGGTCGTCGTGCGTGTTTCAGTTCGCAGTTCGCAGTTTGGACACGGACTGCAAACACTGCAAGCACGTCATGATGCGGCCGCGTGCTCAGCCAATCGTCTTCGAGGGTTCGAACTTGAAATACATACCCCGAAGAGGAAAACAACCCGCCCCCGCCCCGAGTGAGACCGCGCTGCTGAAACGTACCGCTGGATAGGCGAGCGACCGATGTCCAATGAGACAGGTACTGCTGTAGGTGGATGATCACCAGGAGACTCAGCTTTAGTTCCTGTAGCTCAATCACATGCACGCACGCTCGATGGCTCTGCTGGCTGTGAATGGCCATCGTGTTTCAGTGACTGAGGTCGACTCATGATGTGGGTGTCATGACATAGACCATGTGCCGTCACGGTGTCACATGCGTGCTTCGAGAACTCTGCGTGAAAGGTAAACTACGCGGGGTGCAGCAAGCACGTTCTGGACGTTACTTGGGGCACTGGGTAGTCGGCCGTGTTAGACCGAGAGAGAGAGGTTGAGAGAGAGTTGGAGAGAGAGTGGGAGAAGGAAACTTGATTGGAGAGAGACGGTGGTGGTGGTGGAGAGAGAGAGGGAAGAAGAAGTGCGCAGCACGCACGCAAGCTCCATCTCCACGTGGGCGTCCCTCACCACAGTCTCAAGGGTACGCAACGTCAGGACATCATGGGCAAGCAGTATTCCTTTTTGCACGGCACATCATGGGCGGCTGTGAAGTCGTGGGAGCGGGCGACGGCGTGGTCGCTGGCGGCGGCGTTGAGGCAGGGGGCGAAGAGGCAGCGGGAGCGGGAGCGGGCGACGGCGTGGGCG